TTTTGCTTTTCATTTGTAATACTGAAGTTAGGTACAAAACCTAAGAGGATCATGAGTGTATTGGTTCTCTACCAGAGGTGGTTTACCCCTTCCCTCGCCCCTGAGTTGTTGGACAATGTCTGAAGACATTTTTGGTTGTCACAAATGGGGAAGGGGGAGAGGCTGGTGATTCTAGCAGCATCTTTACGGGGTAAAGACCAGGGACGTTGTTAAACAAAGTGTCCAGGACAGCTCCCACAGCAAGTTATCTGACCCAAAAATTCAATAGTGCTAAGGTTGAAAAACCCTGATTCTGTGTTATCTGAGGGATAATTGTGTTTACATTTCTCAAATTAAACTTGAAATTTTGGCTAGAGGATTTTTTTAGGGGTAATTTTTTTTATTATTATATCAAAGCGTACTCATGCTATCATATGAAGAAGACAGATGCTACAAACCACCTGCATTAAATTATACTTTTAATATAAAGAGTATTTTTTAATCTGTTTGTAATTACAAACCAAAAACGTGCCATGTGCTTACCTCAGATAAATCATCACAAATAAAACTCAGTATAGAGCGTTTTATGCATATGGTGTTGAATATCTAAGTGTAACTCAGAGATCTTAAGTTGATCAGTTGCTATCAGTTTCTGTTATCAGATTCATTCCTAAGGTTGATTGTTGTTTGAAGTCTATCTTGACACCAATACTTTAGAAAGTGAAAATCAGATTGCCTTTATTAATGTGCTTAAGGTTAACAGGTTTTGCTTTTTTCACCAGGAAGCACGTTGGTTTGTTCACAATTCTGACAAGGGATAATGATAGCCTTCAGAACAAAAGGAGGAAATTAAAACATGTTCTCGATTTTACTCATTTTTCTTCTCTGCTACAAATCACAACCAAAATTGTCTTTAGGTATGACACATGTATCTGTACAGCTTTACAACGTGGCATATTATGTCAGGTCGCACCCAAAACATTAGCCAGGTCTATAAGACCAAAACATAATCAGTTACTGACAATGCCAGTGATTCACAGAGTAGGAAGAAACATGGCCCTTATAGACCTGTTTCCTTTTCACCATTGAAGCCACACGGTAAAACTGTGATTGAACAAACTAATCATTTGGACTTAACTCAAGCTCTCTTCAATTACATAGACAGAATTTTCAGATCCATTTTAACCATCCCCATAACATTACAGTTCCTTTTCAAACAATTCCTCCTGCCAAATATCTTGACTTTTTAATACAGGACAAGTGGAGATAGAAAGTAAACAAACCAGTGACATGAGAATCCATTGACCCCTATTGAACTTGCAACACTGGGGAATCTGGGATGTACTAAATGAAGCCCGGATGGGAGGGTAGGGCTGAACATGAGAAAACCCAGAACTTTCAGTTTCGTGGTTTAGAAGGAATACCTTCAGTCAAATAGTATACATTAGGAGTAATATTTGATTATTTTCCAGAAATAAGAGTTAGTAAAAATTAGGTCAAAATCTACAATTTTCTAGCAAGGTAACTATGAAATGAGTGTGAAAGGGGGGCTTTCACAATAATGTGGAGACACTATTTCAAACTAAATTTAAATGTGCTCTTGAATTTGCATTTAAATGAATATCCATCATTCACAAAGCAATTTAAAATACATCTGTGACCATGTGTGCTCCAAACAATTCTGTTTTCTTTGGATTTTGTGTGTCATATAAAGCACTTCACGTGCCCAGGGTAGAACAAGCCTCACACGTAGAGTCGCATTTTCTTTTTTCAAGCTCATGAAGATCCCACAGACGGTTCCCTGCCATGACTTTCTCACCTTATAAAAATGGATCCTGAAAGTCAAAGCATATAAAGTTCAAAACGTAAGCTGCCATCTATGGTATGAGTCACCTTGACAACTGAAGACTCTGACCCAGACTCCCAGAGCCTCCGAGCTCTTTTTAATGTCCCTGTTCCTCCAGTACAGGGGTTCCCATCACTGTCACTGATTGGTCTTATTTTTATCCCTCAAGGACAACATCTCTTTCATTTCTGTACCCTATAGAACAGCCCTCCAAGACTAAGTTGGAGCTCAGAATATGTGAGCTGAATTTTTTAAGCTCTCAAAGAGTGAACCCAAGGAGTCCAAACATCAATTAAAAAAACTTGGAAACACCACGATGCCCTGTGCCTCTTAGAGGTTGGCTAGGAGAGATTTTCTAGGATCCTGTGTAAACCTTCCCTCATCTTCTCAAGACTGATTAGACCATGCGCATGTATTACTGACAGGAAACGCAACTCTGAAGAACAGTGATATTGACTCACTTTTTTCAGCGACTTATTATCTGCAGATGTCTTTCTTTCAATCCTCATAGCAAGCATCTAAAAGAGGCATTACTTGCCTTTTTCGGCTATATTATTAATATTATCGTTTATATTATTTCTGTTGCTGAGAGGGAGCTCTAGTGAATTGGCCAAAGTAAAGACTTAAGTTCAGAAGATCTGAGACTGCATTTTCTGTATGATTTACCTATATAACTCAAGCAAACTACTTTCATCTCTTTGAGGATCTGTCTCCCTATCAATAGAGTTGTCCTAAAATAGATATGGCACAGACTTCCAGGGAAAATTAAACAATAAACACAAGCGATAATAATAATAAACACAGTGCTCACAACACTGCTTATTTAATCCAATTTTTTAAATCCCATTTTCTTTTTTAAATGAGCTCATGATGTCTCAAAGAAGTTAGGGGATTTCCCCAAGGCATCACAGGAGAGTATGGTAGAGCAAGTTGAAATTTAAGTCTTTGAAGTGGATGCTATGGTGAAACAGCCAGACCCTTCCTCTCTGCACCCCAAGAATCAGGAATAAAGCACTCATTCTCCCAGCTACTGGTAACATCGGCAGCTGAGAGCTGATTGCCGCAACCTTCTCCAGGCATTGGCTTAGGTAAGCCTAAGGGCTGCCTCTCCCAACATGAGCACCTCTCCATACCGGCCACTGCAGGGCAAAGAGGTCTAGCCCTCTTGCCTCACTTCCAGATAATGCTGACGGTCCACCCAAGCTCCGCAGATCCCTGTAGGACGGGCTGAAGGACCTGTTGCAACTGCATCGTACTTCCCCTTCTTCCTCCACCCAGTCTTGTTTCCATCATGCCTCACGGGTACCAACCTCCAGAACACTCCCTAATAAACCTCCTGCCCACAGATCTCCATCTCCCAGTTTCCCAGGAACCAGATTTAATACAGTCTCCTGGCTCCAAATTCCATGTTCTTGGCACAGCAGTACATGTGAGAGTGGGCAAAAATTTCTGCACAATAAAACTATATCTGCCTGCCAAGTTATCAGCAAATCTCTTAGGAATGTAAAATAGAACCTGTAATTTTAGATAGCTGTGGGGCAGTTCCAGGATCATGAAGAACAGGGCCTGGAGCAAAATTAAATACCAAAAATAGCCCCTACCCTTTATTTTGTGCAAGGAGGTACAAAATGGTGTAAAATTGGCCCTTACTGTCAAGGACTTTGCAACCACATTGCCCAGGGTATTAACTCTCCACAGAGAAAGAGACCAGAGACAGGGCTGCTATCCAGAAGCCCCTGCTTCAGGGGTCTGCCTCCATCAGAGTGCATGAACAAAGCTCATGACGGAGTACCCACAGAGCAGTCACATGCCACTCCAGAGCAAGTGGTCTTTGGGAACCATGTCCTTTACCTACAGGGGTCTTAGAGCAGTTGTATTTCTGCTGCCTTGTCCCCTTGACTAGAATTGATGGATTCAGATGCTATCCGAGTTAAGCTGAACCAATCAAATTCTCTCTTCCAGTCATTTAGACTTTTAAACAAAGGGACCCAGAGACTGTTGGTCTCCATAATGTGAAACTACAGAGAAAGGACCACAGATGGCTGCTGCTAAGGCCCCTGGAACAGCCTTGCTTCCCAAGGCCTAGATGAACGTCTTCCCTGGATTCTCCAAGATACACCATCAATTTTCCAATGAAGTTTGCTAAAGTAATCTGGGTTGGATTCTGCTATTTCAAATCCAAAGAAACTTCACTACTCCAAGTCCTCCGTAAAGTTTTATATAAAGTTCCAGAAATTTTAATTATGCCTTTGGCAGAGAGAGAACATTTATCTAATCTAAACTGTCTCCCACATGCTGATGTTGACAAAGGCGACAGAAAATTTGAAAAAAAAAATAATGCCCTGCTGTCTAAATGCAACAGGACAGGATCATGAAATCAGAATCAGAAAAAACCCACGAAGGCAAACAAATGTTAATAGGTCATATCACTTCTTTCTCAAAAGCCTCCACTAGCTTCCTATCACATTTCAAATAAAATCCAATCCTTACATCAGCTGGACCCTATATTACCTACCCTACTTGACCTGTGGTTATCTCTGACCTCAACTCCCCCAACTCTCCTGTTCACTTACTCCACCCATATACACTGGCCTCCTTGTTCTTCTCAACCATACTCCCACCTCAGGACCTTTGCACACACAGTTTCCCCTACCTGGATATCTATCTATCCTGCAAATATCTCTATGGCCTAGTCTCTTTTTTTCAGGTCTCTGCTGAAATCCCATCAGATAGACCTTCCCTCACCTCCTGTCTAGAAGAGTAGTCTCTCCTTCTCCCTCTTTATCCTCATATCCCAATTAATTTTTCTCCCTAGCACTTGTCACTACCTAACACTACATTACAAAACTATTGTGTATTTGTTAATTATTTGCTAGCCTTACTAGATTATAATCTCCATCTGTATGCTTTTGCTCAATGTGGGGTTCACACTCTTTAGAAGAACCTGACATATCGAAAGATCTCCATTTATCAGTTGGATGAATAAACAAGCAATTAAAATCTAAGTACGGACATATTTCTGCTTGGAGGCAGAGGGTCAGGACTGTATGTTCAGGATGACGAATGACTCTGCTTCAGTCCTTCATGTTTCCTGGGTTGAACAATGACAGGAGATGTAACTCCCAGGAAAAGAGTGTAGGCTGAGGCCCACAAAAGGGGTCACTTCAGCACATACCTGCTATGGGATCAGGTGATGAGGGCCTTGAGGCTTTAGGAAGATGGAAGGCCTCTGTGCGGTAGAAAGCCAGGAGGTTCTAGTGGCTGCAACCCAAGCAAGATGGCAGTGAGAACTGGGTTGCAAGATGAAGAGACAAGACCTGGGGAGGAAGCAAAGAGTCAGACTAGTCAACTCCATGGAGACATTTGCCCTGAAAATTGCAAGGTCTTTTCCTTTTTGCAAAATAGCTTTTCTAATAACTGTGTATATTAACTAGACACATTCTCTTCTAGCTTTGAAATCTAGCCCAAAATGTGTATGTTCATCTCCGTCTTACTCCATAGTCTCACTTCCCTTAGGCTCAAAGAACAAATCAAGTTCCAATACATTAAATTTTATGCCTTACAAAATGAATTTTGTTTGAGAATTTTCTTTTCTTTAAAGCCTGTTTTTTTGGGATGCCTGAGTGGTTCACGAGGTTAAGCAGCTGCCTTTCAGCTCAGGTTATGATCTTGGGGTCCTGGGATCAAGTCGCACACTGGGCTCCCTGCTCCACTGGGAGCATGCTTCTCCCTCTCCCTCTGCCTGAAGGTCCCCTGCTTGTGCGCTCACGCGCTCTCTCCCTCTGGCAAACAAATAAATAAAATCTTTTAAAAATAAATAAATAAAGCCCATTTGTTTGCAGCAGAATGAGCCAATGAGCCAACTTATACAATGGTGTAAGTACCATTCTGATTCACACAGCAATGGAAATTTGGATTGTATTATGATCTCTAAACAAATAGGGGTATGATATGGCATGCTCTGAGACATTCATGCCACATAATGGCAGGTGACTTCCCTGCCATCCTTAACACCCTGGACACAGTAAAGAACCAGGATACCAGGGGCTCAGATGAGAAACTGTGAGGACAAATCCATGACACATATGTGTCCTTATGCTATCTTCCTCAATAGATAGGTAGATAGATTGATCCTCATTTTACTTAGTGTTTGGGAATCAAACTAGCTGACAACTGTATATAAAATTCATGTTGCCAAGAGCAACAAAACTATTAAAATATACCCTAAGAGACTGAAAATAGGTACAATCTGTTTGAGAGAAAAATAGATCAAAAGCCTCAAAAATGTACTACTCTTTGATCTAGTGATTTTATTTTGGGGAAATTAGACTAAGACAATCATCATAGATGTGCAGAAAAATTCAGTTACAGAGATGTTGGCATTGTATGTAATCATAGTCATGAAATTTGGAATTTGGAAGTGACATAGATGTCTAACAGCAGGGGCTAAGTAAAGCATGCCATGAACAGCCATGCAGGGAGACAGGATGAAGCCATTAACATGATATTTAAATACTGAGAGGTTTTAAAGTAACTACAGTATTGTTTTAAGTTTAAAATACATTATTATTTAAAAATAAAATAATCCTAATTTACTATAATGGCAATTTAGTTAAAAATAAGTGTGCATTTTTACTCAAACAAAAAGTTCTGGAAGGAAATACACCAAACGCTATTAGTAGTTGTCCCTAACTATTTGAATTACACACACTTTTTATTTCTTGCCTTTTATAACTTTACTCCAAAAATCAGCTATAACAAATGGATATTGCCACTCAATTAAAACAAATTTTACCTATTTTTAAGCTGTATGATAAAGAAAATGCACTTCATGTGCAGCAGAAGATTGGAAAGAAACTCAGCTGTTCATTGCAACGGCAGAGAATAATTTGTGTGTTACCTCTTAGAGATATAGTCCTATCTTGCCACCTTGAAATGATAATAAATAACAACCACTCTTACAATGAAGCAGTGTCAGAGTGCCACAATGGGAAGCCAAAGTAATATTAATAGTCCCAAAGTTGTATGTCAAGCAAATGCAAAAGTTCCCCAGAGAGAGATGCTGGTAGAATAAATAATCAAGAATAGCAGACCGTACTTCCGGTAAATAGTGCTCTTTGTGAGACGGCATAAACAGAGTCAGTTTTTCCAGCATTTAAGATATAAATCACTATACTAATTTTTGATGCATGGTGACAAGTATGTGAAGAGTGATGTTATTAGATTTATCCAGTCACCACATAAAGAGTTTGTGAAAAGAAACAACATTTGGGAAATTCGGGATCCATGTAACCACATTTAGAATTTATTTGTGTTAAAGCATTTATAAAATCATTGTCTCTGCAAGTTTATGAATACATTTATCCTTCAAATGTAACTTCCTTTCTTTAATTGCTCCCTATCCTACTGGAGTTTACATGCTCCCCGATAACACACACGTGTGTGCTTGCGCGCGCGCATACACACACACACACACACGCACGCACACTTTCTCATCCTATCACCATGATAATCAAAACAACTCGTATTTCTTTGCAGTTTTACCTGGCAAATTTTCTGCTGTCTGGTTATCCAGTTACAATAGAGCCTAAGCTTTCTATTTTTGCTACCTAGGGAAAATCCAGAGGAAATTGAGTTTCTTTGATTCATAAAGCCACTACTAAGCTTATGAGCTTCTCTTTTTCATTCAAATCACATTGACATAAATTGATCAAAGAAGAAAGGTGGAGGAGTCAAGTTTCATAGAAATAGTCACCTTTTCCTCCCTCATTGCAGAGAGGAATTGAATCAACTATGCACTTTCATTCCAGCCTAGGAAGACAATTTTTTCTCTAACAGCTTAGAAAGGGATTCTTACTGTCATGCTTGGCAGGGTGGGTGGGTGAGGGGGTAACAAAGAGCATGTATGACACTCTGATCTGGGGGAATCAGGAAGTTATGTCAGGAGAGCAGAGAACATTCCAACCTGTAACCTTGTCAAGGCCGAGAGCACTGTGAAATTGTCCAAATGGACACAGTCTGGGTTTCACGCCATTTCTTGTCCAGTGTCACTTAACGGCTCACAATCCCTAAAGAGAAGGCCTCAGGATAAAGACTTCACTGTATGTAAAAATTGAATACAGAGCTTTGTAGTCTGGGTTTCCCAGGAAGTAGATCCTGAGGTAAGGATCTGAGTGAATATTTATTTGGAAGGCTCAGGAAACTCCAGTAGCAGAGTGGAAGAAAGATACAGGGAAGGGAAGGTAATAGAGGGTAAGTCGTTGAGCAAGTGCATGGTTCGCTTGTGCCACGTAACAAACCATTCCAATGCTTACTGACTTTAAAACCGAACATGCGTATTTTCTCACACTTCTGTGAATCATCCAGATGGTTCTCATTGTCTGGGCGAGCGCCACTGATTTCTACATTCAGCTGGCTGCTCTTCTAGGGCTAGATGCCCTCAGTGCTCAAACGCACACTTCTAATGGTTGACCTAAGCAGCTTTTGGTGCATAAGCTCTTTTCTAAGTCCCCTCGCATCCCCAAGAGGCTAGCCTGGGATCCTTTAGGTGGTGGTCTCAAGTTCCATATGTGGCAAGAAAACGAGCCCCAGCGAGCAAGCACTTTTCAAGCTGCTGATGGGATCATATTTGCTAATTTCCCTATGGCCAAAGTTTAAGTTCACAGGTCCACTAGATTCAAGGTTGGAAAAATGGCTTCCACGTTTTGATGGGAGATCTGCAAGGCCACACGACGTGGGGAGGAGGATTTGTGGTTATTTTACAAGTGACCACCACTAGCAGCCTTAGTGGGAGGTTGGCATTTAATCCAGTGAGGAATTTCTGAATTAAACTCTGCTTCAGAATTAATGCATCCCACCTAAGGTGGGAGGGAGGAAAGTGGGGTACTTCTGCGCCAAAGCCCCCAGGTCATTGGAGACTCCCTGCAGGGTTGCTAATACCAGAGCAGCTATAATGGCTTAGTGTGCTTCAGCCACACGGATCCAGATACTGGCAGTCATGACCCTTCTGTCACTTCTAGAAGGAACGAGCTCTTGGGAGAATATGAGACCTCTCTGTGAATGCTACATACAGCCCATATTTACCATTCAAAGTGATTCAAAGCATCTAAGCTTCAGTCAGTTTGTTCCTAATTGCTACTCTGCTGTGTATGAGGTTTTTGTTGCTGTTGTTGTCGTTGTTGTTGTTTGAATTCCTGAGACAATACAATGCCTGACAAGCGGCAAGAGATAGCCTTTTTCTGATTTCTGGGTGAAACACTGGCATAGTTGTTTTCTGGGCCCCACTGGGCAGCCACCTGCCAAGTGGAAATGTCTGAGAATTTGAACTTCAAGCCAACTTGTTCAATGAACACTGCTCAGTGTTCAAATATACCATTCCTCTTCACACAGAAAGGAATGAACTATTAGCTAGCCTAGTCTTAGACAGCCTCACACTGCATCTCTGTGTCACACCGGTGAATAAGGATCAAGTCATTGGCAAATATTTTCTGAAACGGAACCGTCAGAGAAGAGTGGTGATAACATTATTTCAATCACTTTGAATGAGATGTTACCAAAGACTCAAATCCACAATGTGATACTAAAAACATTACATTTTTTGTGGACAGAATAGCTCTATTTAATATAGTGAGAGGTAGTACTGTGTATGTAGTGGGCAAGATCATGGCCTCTGAAGTCAGATACTTGGGTTGGAATCCTGGCTGAGCCACCTGTCAACTACCAGCTCGAACAGTTCATTCAAGTTCTCAGTACCTCCACTTTTTCACTGTAAAATGAGGATAAGAATATTGTCCATCCCGAAGAATTGTTGTAAGAATCAATACATATAATATTCTTAAAACAATATGGGACAATATGATAAAGATTAGCTAACTTAGTAGTGAATTACCATTTCTACCTACTGACTAGCGCTCTATTGGCTCGAGTTAACAAGGATTAATTGAAAACAGAAGGAAGCTGGAAACAGTTTACAGATTTGATTTAATTGTACCTAGATGTTAGTTAATACCTTGAGGATATTAGACTCTGAAACTCAGAAGCAAGCTGTTGTGACTTCAGTAGATTCGAACTTTACTCAATGACTTCTTTTAAGTCTTTTTTTAAATTTTTCATTTATTCATCTGAAAGAGAGAGAGAGAGTGAGCACAGCTTGGGGGACAGGTAGAGGGAGATGGAGAAGCAGACTCCTCACTGAGCAGGGACCCATCAGAGGGCTTGACCCCAGGA